ACGCGATGGCGGAATATACACATGATTATTGTTATTTCATAAACAAATTTCGGAAGGAGCACGTTCAAATAATCAATCCAATCAACTTGTCATCAAACAATAACATGTCTAACGTTACCCTATCAGCATGAGAGGAAGCATATTCACTCTAACTCACCTAACAACCTAACAACAGTTTTTCAGCATCCCTCCACCACCCCGAATCCTCACTCTTGGCTTGTTCTTTCACAGCCAGGAATACGGGGAGTACTCTGGGTTCGGGCCGAATACCGATCACGGAGCCCTCTCCTCGGACAGCACCTTATATAGGCCTACGCATTTATTCTATCTGACTTATTTGTAAGTGTGAACTCGTGAAATCTCAATTCTCCAGCGGCAGAACTTTGTTGTAAACGAATTCAACCCAAGCGCTCTTTGGTGACGTGAGGATTACGTAACTGCACCTCATCTGTCAATCATCGTATAAAGCCCGCCCTGGCAATTTGATTGGTCCGACCATTTTTTGACTGATCATAATTACTCCTCAATGAAGTCCAGACCGAACTTCCCGACCAAAAATTGTTGTGGGCGGGGTTCGGGCTGGCAGCCAGGCTACTTGTGTGGTATTTCAAATGAAACAATTGTTGCCCACATTCAACATTTTATCAGATTAGTGTGTGGCCTAGAAATGTAGACTCCCCCTAGCTCAGCTAATTTTATTTTGCAGCCAGGGAGTTCTGGCAACTCTCTGTTGGCTTTCGAGCTGGAAAAACCAAACTCTAGTCAGGCCAATCAGATCGTGTATAGAATTGGCAATCACAGCAATCACAGCTTGTTATTTAACTATGCCAAAATAAATTCAATTTCACATTCTAGGGCACCTTTAAGTCATTCTTAAAAAAAGGAAGATGTGTTCATAGTTTTGCAGACCAGATACGGCAAAAGTTTAATCTATCAACTACCTCCGCTGGTGGGAAAACGCTCTGGTTGGTTGTAGCGTTATCCTATTGCGTGCGGAGGGAATTTAAAAGACAACCGTTTACCCCGCCCCTCGGATTGAGCTCTGCCAATGGTGAGTTCCCAGACCCAACATCTTGATGTGGGTCTGGCTAGGGATGGCTGCCGCGAAAAAGTCGTTCCGAAGCTTTGCGAGATCCCGAAGCGCAGATGTTTCAAAACACTGAACACCCATGTCACGTGACTATGGCCAAACGAAGCCTCGAAATGTTTCACTAATTGTTTCATCAGGTGTGATCCGCCGAATCAGCATTTGATTGACACGGTCGGAAACAGACCACACAATCGCACATCTGTATAAAAGTGAAATCAACGCATATTGACCTCGTGGGTTTTTGTGAGAGGAGTTTGATTTTGAGATAGCGGATTTTTGGTGATATAGTGCGATTTGTTTAGTTATATTTAGGCTTACATTTAAATTTACACAACACATTGACTGATAGGCTAGAGACACAGAGTATATAGTGACACATTAATAGATACATTGATATAAATATATATAGACAGCTAGATTAATAGATACATATATAGATAGATTAAAGATAGGCTACATATATAAATACATAGATAGATTATAGATACATTTATAGATACATATCTAAATACATAGATAGATTATAGATACATAGATTATAGATACATATCTAAATACATAGATAGATTGTAGATACATATATCTAATTACATAGATAGATTAGAGATACATATCTAGATAGATTTGGATAGATAGATAAAATGGAGGCTCCCCAGAAGAGATGCCGTACATCTGTGGTGTGGGAGCATTTCCATTTAGAAACCCCAAAAAAAGTGAGATGTGTGTATTGTGATCGGCAGCTCGCCTACTGCAACAATACATCATCCAGTAGAAACACAGGACAGTTTATGGTGATACTCGTATCCATCAAACCCAGATGATACACAATGCTACAGCTGATGCCACAGTGGAAGTGAAAAAATACATCAACGATGCGTATTTGCCCAGAACTCATGATCCACTAACTTACTGGAAAGAGAGAGCAGTAATCTTTCCTCATTTGTATGTATTAGCTAAAAACAATCTTTGCATGCCAGCAACAAGTGTCCCTTGTGAGAGGATTTTTTGAAAGGCTGGAGAAATTATCTGTAAGAAAAAGAAAGAAAAAAAAAGTAGGCTAAGTCCTTCAACAGCAGAGAAATTAATATTTCTAGACTGCACACTAAAGGAGCCTATGGAGCTAGACTGCACACTAAAGGAGCCTATGGAGCTAGACTGCACACTAAAGGAGCCTATGGAGCTAGACTGCACACTAAAGCAGCCTATGGAGCTAGACTGCACACTAAAGGAGCCTATGGAGCTAGACTGCACACAAAAGGAGCCTATGGAGCTAGACTGCACACTAAAGGAGCCTATGGAGCTAGACTGCACACTAAAGGAGCCTATGGAGCTAGACTGCACACTAAAGGAGCCTATGGAGCTAGACTGCACACTAAAGGAGCCTATAGAGCTAGACTGCACACTAAAGGAGCCTATAGAGCTAGACTGCACACTAAAGGAGCCTATGGAGCTAGACTGCACACTAAAGGAGCCTATGGAGCTAGACTGCACACTAAAGGAGCCTATGGAGCTAGACTGCACACTAAAGGAGCCTATAGAGCTAGACTGCACACTAAAGGAGCCTATAGAGCTAGACTGCACACTAAAGGAGCCTATAGAGCTAGACTGCACACTAAAGGAGCCTATAGAGCTAGACTGCACACTAAAGGAGCCTATAGAGCTAGACTGCACACTAAAGGAGCCTATAGAGCTAGACTGCACACTAAAGGAGCCTATGGAGCTAGACTGCACACTAAAGGAGCCTATGGAGCTAGACTGCACACTAAAGGAGCCTATAGAGCTAGACTGCACACTAAAGGAGCCTATAGAGCTAGACTGCACACTAAAGGAGCCTATAGAGCTAGACTGCACACTAAAGGAGCCTGACTGTGAGCTGAGGAGGCTCCACATTTAAAAAATAAATGCAACAGCTGGATTAAACTGATCTCAGTATGTGAACTTATTTAACCAAGTAACACTTTAGCATGAATATTTATTAATGCAACTTTCTATTGCTCTCTTCCCCCCCCATCCCACAAAACCAATAAAACAGTTTGAGACCTGTCTGCAGTTTCAATGTGCTTTTATTAAGTGTAATATTGTATGGTGATTGCAACTACATTTGCACCAGCTGGGTGGTCAAGTGTGTTCGGGTCAGTTTCATCGGGGAGAAGCTTTCTGTGGTGTTCTGGCTCCTTTCTATGGTGGATATATTGTGCAGAATGGCACATGCAGACACTATCTGTGATGCCCACTCTGGTGACTCTTAAGCGCCGAAGACAGTTGAAACGTGCCTTTAGGATGCCAAAGATCATCTCTAACTTTTACTATGGTTTTACTGACACATGAGGGTCATGATAGGGGATTATTGTGTAGGTTTTGCTGTCCCAATTCAAATTAACAGTGTTTTGTACTGTACCAAATTTAACTAGCTTTCCTCAAAGCGCTGACACAACATACTCACGGAAAGTATATTATTATCTGTTAATTTTACTATTAATTTAAAGATTCATCTCACAGAAAATAATAATTTCACATGTTCACATAATCTCTACCTGAACATTAAGGCTGTGAAAGGACTTTCTATTAACATAATCTGCCTCATGTTCTCCTAGAGAAGTGGAGATTGCAACATGTGTGCAGGCTATTGCTCCAATGACTCTATAGGGAATCCTATCATAAGATTAACCGAATAAAAAAAAAAAAAGATTTAAAATAATGCTTAACATTTACTGTATTGTATAGTACATTTGTGAAATTTGCTTTTTGAAAGAAAAAAAAACGTGATGTCACCCTATCAATATATCTTACCGGCAATTTTATAAAAACCCTCTCTTATGGACATGGTCAATAAATGTCTGGGGAACACTATTAAACTATTAATGTACTCCTGCAGAGCGAGGACCACCTTGCGAATGGTTCGACAAACCGTGTTTTCCCCTAGATTCTGTGCATCACCGATCGTGCAAGTATGTAGGCTACCACTTGCAAAAAAAAAAAACGCAACGCAATACCATTTATGGTAGCCTACAGTAAGTGCATGAATTCGACGTGTTAAATTATTTATGTGCGGCTCAAGAAGTTCACAAAGATAAGATATTCCTTCCGCGAAAATCTGTATCTTTCATCAGGAAAGGCAAGGGGATTTTGTCCGGCTAAAAACTCATTCTCTACGATGTGCTCGTCTAACAATTTGCGCTGAGATGTCCACAGGATTTGAAAGAAAATGTAAAGCCATTGCAACAAACACTGGGAATTAGTTACGTCACCTATATGTTTCTTTGCTCACAGCTGATTGGTCAAACTTCAGTCTGAGATCTCGAATCCAGAACTTAACCTGCCCCGGAGCAGGTTAGCCGTGCAGCGTAAGATACCATGGCAACGAACACCGATTAAAGCCGAGCTACTTTCATAGTACCTAAAACCCAGGGTTGGCGGAAACTAAGCTGAAACATAGCTGGCTAGCCACCTAAACCGGCTTCATGGTATAGGCCCCAGAACATGGGAAACACTTAAGTATATATACACAAGGGTCATTGGAAAACAAGACACACCTGCGAACAATCAGGAACTAATCAACAGGATAAACCACAAGGGCTACAAAACACGCCATGAAACAGGAAATAACAAAAGTCCACAATTTACCCTTTTTTTTTGGTGAAACATTTTTAAACTTAAAACTATTGATTCATTTTTAAAGCATTGAAATCAATTACATACCATATGAACTGAGTAAATGTAAGTAAAATAATTAAGTAGATCTGAGAAACTGCATTTGGAACATTAACAAATAATTAATTTAAATAAAACAAAAAATAAAAGTATTCTTTTGTGCCGTTTCAGTTGGGTAAATGTAAAGCTCTTCCCACAGTCACAACACACATGATCTCTCACTTCATCATGAGTTTTCTAGTGCAGTTTAAAATGTTGAAAACTGTTCAGCTGTGAAAAATACTTTCCACAGAGAGAACACACATAAGGCTTCTCATCTGAATGAACTTTCAGGTGTTTCTTTAGATTTGATGACAAATTAAAATCTTTACCACACTGATCACAGTTGAATGTTTTTTTCTCCAGAGTGAATGCGCAGATGATATCTCAAACCTGTTGAATCTCTGAAACTTTTCTCACACTGAATATATTGGTACGGCTTCTCTCCAGTATGAACTCGCTCGTGTAATTTCAGGTTTCCAGAACGAGTGAATCTCTTGTCACAATATGAGCACTTGTAAGGTTTTTCTCGAGTATGAATTCTTCGGTGCCGTTTCAGATCACCAGCTCTAGTAAAGCTCTTCCCACAGTCACAACACACATGATCTCTCACTTCATTATGTGTTTTCTGATGCTGTTTAAAACAGTTAAGCCATGAAAAACTCTTTCCACAGAGAGAACACACATAAGGCTTCTCATCTGAATGAACTATCAGGTGATCTTTTAGACTTGATGATGAAATAAAATCTTTACCACTCTGATCACAGTTGAATGGTTTTTCTCCAAAGTGATGGAGCAGATGATTTCTCAAACCTGTTGAATCTTTGAAACTTTTCTCACACTCAGTACAGTAGTACGGCTTCTCTCCAGTATGAACTCGCTCGTGTGATTTCAGGTGTCCATAATGAGTGAATCTCTTGTCACAGTATGAGCACTTGTAAGGTTTTTCTCCTGTATGAATTCTTTGGTGCCGTTTCAGTTCACCAGATGTAGTAAAGCTCTTCCCACATTCACAACACACATGATCTCTCAGTTCATTGTGGGTTTTCTGGTGACGTTTACAAGTGGCCAGCCATGAAAAGCTCTTTCCACAGAGAGAACACACATAAGGCTTTTCATCTGAATGAACTTTCAGGTGTGATTTAAGATGTGATGATGAAATAAAGTCTTTACCACACTGATCACAGTTGAATGGTTTTTCTCCGGAGTGAACATGCAGATGATAACTGAGATCTGATGCTTGAGAAAAACTCTTCTCACACTGAGTGCATGGATACGGTTTCTCTCCAGTGTGAATTCTCATGTGTATCTTAAGGCATCCTTTCTTTTGGAAACTCTTTCCACACTGAGAGCAGGAGTGCAGCTTTTTGGCTTTTGTTCCTTGAGTTTTGAAGTCACAGAGTTTCTTTACGTCATTTAGTTTCTGTCTTTGCTCCTTCACATCCAGCTGGTCTAAAATAAAATGTATTAAGCAGTTAGAATCAGTTGAGAAAATTAAAATAAAACAAGACATGGACATCTGTCTGTGTGAGTATAATGTATCTTTGATCTGGAAAGATCAGTTCAGTTATATACAAGGTTATGATCATTTACATGCATTCCTTTATTATTTTTTCATCCATATACTGATTACTAATTCATAGAATTATTGAAGAATCAAGAATGGACACCAACCTATTTGTTCCTCAGTATCTTCATGTTTTATTCTGGATGGTTCTGGATCAGTCATGTCTTCAATCTCCTCTTTAATAAACTCCATCTTTAACAACACAGTCTGGTGCCAGAGATGGACTTTATTCTTTAAATATATAAAGCTAAGCAGCTTCTGCTGAAACAACTGCAGAGTCCTGCCTCACACTCGAGTATATATCCATACATCCTTCCCAAAGTGGTAAGGCATTCTACAGATATTTTAAGAAATGGACAGATGGGAAGGTCTTCACCATATATGAAACATTCTTGTGGGCCTGAAATAGAAGTACAGCTGTAAACACACCATTCACTTGCCCGTCTCTTGTTCACAGTGACAGACCCACATCATAATAGTAGAAAAACTTATTCAAACATATGGCTATATTCAGGGATGTGCACAGACATTTTGAGGGGCAGGGGCTCAAGTGAAAAAAAGGGCACTTCTCATAATTACGTTTTTTTTTTTTTTTTTACTTTTTTTTAAACAAAAAAGTATATCATAATACATCATAATAGTAGAAAAACTTATTCAAACATATGGCTATATTCAGGGATGTGCACATTTTGAGGGGCAGGGGCTCAAGTGAAAAAAAGGGCACTTCTCATAATTACGTTTTTTTTTTTTTTTTTTACTTTTTTTTAAACAAAAAAGTATATATATTAACAACTCTGACTTTTAAAAAAATAATAATTAAAAAGGTTAATTAATTTTATCTTCCTCAAACTCACACAATTGTTTCACGCATGACTGTATCATCATCATCATCATCAAATAAAACCTTCAAAATTCACAATTAGATGGAGTTTGTTTTAAACTATCCTCCATCTGTTTGCATCTGTAGCAGGGGTGTCACTAGGATTTTCATTTTAGGGGGGCTAAGCCCCCAATGAGTGTATATATATATATATATATATATTTTTTTTATATAAAAAAAAGGTAACACTAGTTTAGGATCTAATGCTCACTATTAATCAGTTTCATTACCATGCAAAGTCAGGGTTTTATAATCACTGTGGTCCCAAATGTGAAGTACGGAAGAGGGTTCGGTGTTTCCCCGAGAAAATTTTGATTTCTCTGATCTACATATGTGCATTTTAAGATGTTTTGAAGGCCAAAAAAATTGGATAACAGCTTTAAAACCATGTCAGTGGGCAGCTGATTATTTTTCTCTCCTCAGCATCATCACACTCTTTTTCTCTTTGTTTTTATCTTGCCCTGTCTCTTCCCCTCCTAAAGCTGAGCTTTGACTGATATAGGCTTTTCATTTTTTGTCTGTCATTGAAGAAAGTAAACATAGGGTCAACTGATAGGTTGATTTTGCCTATGAATCCTTTTCTCAGACGCGTTTATTTACTGAAAGCTACTAAAGGTAATTAAGTTAATTAAATGCATTCACAATATGTAGGCTACACATTCATTATTGATCTTATGCCTAATACAGGGCCGTAGACAGGGCTTTATAATCAAAGAGGTCCTAAATTTGAGGTTGGTAGGGGGTTCAAATTTTTTATTTGTCTGATATGTGCATTTCAAGACGTTTGAAGACCCTAAAAAGGGATAAGAAATAGCTTTAAAACCATGTCAGTGGGCAGTAGATTATTTGTCAATACCTGCTCTCTTCTCATCTCCATCACGCTTTCTTTTTTCTCAGTCTCTTCATCACTTTCTCTTCCCCTCCTAAAGCTGAGCTTTTTTTTTAATTTACCAAAGGCTACAATTTGTATTATATTCTCAATATGTACACATTCATTATTAATCTTGTGCCGAACATGATGAAAACGGCTTTGTTAATGTGTCTTGTCCCCTCACAATGACAGTAAACTAATTATTACATTACATGAGTCACGTTACATAGGCCTATTTTCAGTTCAAAATGGCGAAATTAGACAAAACTATATTAGTTTGCCTGATTATTTTTAGTCATTCGTTTAACATTTACGACCTAAAAAAATGTCAAATATGAAATGTTAAGTTTAGCTACTTACTTATCTCGCACTTGACCGTCCGCGTCGAGTTGCACTGTTAAAATGGTTAAAATTCGCGCGCAGCAGCGTCTGTGACCATAAAGCCCGCCTACTTTGATTTGATTGGTCATCTCAAATATTCTGACATTGACGAGCAGTGACAGACCAATGAGGCTCAGATGAACACACACACCCTGTCCTCTGTTTCTGACGTGCTCTCTGCTCTGCGCCGCTGCGGAATGAAGATGAAGAACGCGCTGAATCTGATAATAACAAGACTGAAGCGAACACGAATTTGTGTAGCCAACATTAATCACAAATTTTTAGGGGGGCTAGGCAGAAGTTTGGCCTAGCGACGACCAACAATAATATATATTATTTTAAAAAAAAATAAAAAAGCACCTCAGAAAAAAGGGCACTTTCTCTCCAGGAATAAAAAGGGCAGGTGCTCAAGCCCCCTTTGATGTCTATGTGTGCACGTGCCTGGCTATATTATACTTAAATCACGTATTTTCTGAATATTAAAATATAAAATATTCAATAAAAGGTAACACTTTACAATAACAGGGCATCAGAGGCGAACCAACATTGGGTGGGGGCCCCAGGCAAAATTAATCAATGAGGCCCTTCTAAAATATTTTTTTGTAAATATATCTTTGTTACCTAGAGATATAATTATACAATATACAAAAAGTAGTCAAAACACATCTAACAGAACATAAATTGTTTATTGTTTACAATATTAAAGTACTTATGTTTTATCAAGATATAATATAATTCTCAAGATACAGTACATAAATCTTCATAAAATAATAATGTATTGTCACCTTAAAAACGCTGCTTACTAGCCTTAGCTACGGCAAATGCTGTCACTATGTCCTCCATATCTAAAGACCTTCATATGTTCTGTTCAATGGAAATTAGTGCCAGTGCTGAGAGCCTCTTTTGGTTCATTGTTGACCTGATGTATGATTTAATCAGCTTTAAAGCTGAAAAACTTCTCTCACCACAGGCAGCGGTGACAGGAAGAGTTAGAAGCAGACGAAGAGCAATGCTCAAGTTTCCATACAAATCTAGAAGTTGCTCCTTGAAGATGTAATCTAACATGTCGCTTGGTGAAGTAGATGAATGATCAGGGAAGGTATGGACAGCAGCCCTGACCTCCATAACCAAATCCTCTGAATGTATGTCATGTAAGGCTCTTTCCAATTTTTTGCAGTTGTCTTCGAGTTGTCCATGCATTGCTTCTCTCATGTTTTCTTTTGAGATCAGAAAACTATACATGGCATAAACATTCTCCAGCTTACAGAATCGGTCATTAATACTTCCAATGGCTGTGTCAACCAAGACTTCTGAAAGACTCCTCTGGTGTGGATTGTGTCTGATCTCTGCCCTCATATAGGAATTGCCATGATGTTTTGCGTTGTCTTTTCTCAGGCAATGTCATGTCAATATCTAGAGCTTCTGCTATCTCTCTTGCATCCTGTTTGACAAGCAGCGAGTCCACTTTCCTTGAAATTTTTCAAGTATGTTTGCACTCCCTGAGTTTCCTTTTTAAGTGTTTCTAGAGAAACGAAGAATTTTGCTCACATGGTTAATCTGATACAAGACATTGTACCAGATTACCACACACAGGACAAAACCCCAAGTCATTGGCGCATTCTGAATGCTGTTTGCTATGGACATTGTCTCCGAGTCTTTCTTCTCCACAGCAAATTTCTGGAGGGCAGACAGGGCTTCCACAATCTCTGGCAGCTGGTAACGTACCACCTTCACGCTATCAATTCGAGCCTCCCATCTCGTTGTTGACAAAGATTTGACAGTAAGATGCTTCACATTTTGCTGTAGTACTGCCGAGCGCTGCACAGATGAGCTAAAGAGATTATACAATCTCTGCAGAGCACCAAAGAAAGAGACTGATGTCACAGATGACTTGGCTGCATCTGCCAAAACCAGTTTCAGAGTGTGACTGCTGCATGGGACACACCATGCCTTGTTGTTCAGCTGCAAGATTCTTGTCTGAACTCCCTGTTTACTGCCCATCATATTACTTCCATTGTCATAGGATTGGCCATGACAATCTGAAATCTTTAAGTTGTGCTTCTCAAGTTTTTCCAAAAGGGTATCATATAGTCCTTTTCCAGATGTGTCCTGTACATCAATTAATCCAAAGAAATGTTCAGTGATGAAGGCTCCAACAGAAGATTCATAATTCACAATTCTCAACACAACAGAAAGTTGTTCAGTATGGCTGACGTCAGGAGTACAGTCCATTATGACAGAATAGTACTTCGCTTTGGTCACCCTGCTAACTATCTCCTGCATTATTTTGTCTCCAATTAATGTTATGATATCCTCCTGTATTGTACTGCTAAGGTAATGAACCTTTACCTCTTTGTTTTGAATCCTCCTTATGTGTTCATTTAGAATGGGATCGAATTGTGCCATTAACTCTACCTGTGACAAGAAATTGCCATTGTGTGGGTCAAATAAAACATTTGTGTGGCCCCTCAAAGCATGGTTGCACTCAACAAGATGGCAGATGATGGCAATCACTCTCCTTACAACACCTTTCCAATGTTGCACTTCAATCTGCATTAAATCTTGATGGACTTGATCAATGGTTGTTTTAGTTAGAAACCTCTTCTGAAGATTATGCCAGCTTTCCATATTCTCAGCATGTGCCTTTGAATACTCATATTCTTTTCATATTCTTCCATGTGCGAAATCCACCTTTGCTGAGAGCATTTTCACATTTACCAAACAGTGTGTAATGCAAATCAGAATACTGCATCTGTGCTGATAGAGTATATAAGCCACGATTAGTGATGCACCGATGTGAAAATTGTGGCCGATACCGATAACCGATATTAATATTGCTGTTATGGCCGATACCGATATTTACCGATGTCGATATCTCTGTATAGAAAACACATAGCGAGGATTAGGGCTGCACGATATTGGTAAAAAATGGCATTGCGATATAAACACAATTTCACCAGATGACTTGAATAGCTCTATTTGGAAAGAATGAATCATTCTAGAATGACTGGGGTGGTTTTGTCATGGAGTAAATCCGCATAGAAACTAATATTAATAGAATGTTAACTAAT